TCATTAGTCTATGGATCTCCTCACTAAAACTGACCTAATAAAATAACTTGTGAATTTAAGCCCGTCTAGTTATTACGTGATTTATTCGCCAATCGCAATATGACTTATTCAATCTTAGTACTGTGCTAAACCAATGACATTCAACCGGTATGAACAGTTTAACGACCTTATTGGTTCTTCGTTCCGTCCAATCGAGTTCAGAACGCCAAAAACAGCTTCCACTATGCGAATCATTTATTTCAAACATACTTAGTTTATATACAAGCCAAACAGAGCATATCACACCAAAAAATAGGAAATAAAATTTGTGCAAGATCAAGCCAGAAAGTGACTGTGATTGTGGGAGACTGTAATCAATAAACTGAACATAACATAAGAACAGTAAATCGTATGATGATATTCTATACGTCAAAATGAAGCTTATAATAAGGAGAATATAGATATACATAATCAGTTACAGAACAGTTATACAATAGGAATAAATATATATATAATAAAGTCCGTTAATAGTTTTCAGAAGTTACTCGTAATTTAATCTTCACTAGGATATAACAATAATGATGTTATATAAACAGTGTTTGAATAAAGTGCGTTTGATGAGGTAGATAACTAGTCGGTATCTTAACAGGAATTATCACTGAAGAATACTTCCGTTTAATTAACTAATTTGTACATAATTTTTCCCCATTTGTTATTAATCTTTAACAAAATAACTATTTTTTGACAGAAAATTTCTGTACTATTCATCATTTAATTAAACTTACCATGAATTGAGATTTTTTAAACATCAAACATACAAAGTTCATATACATATTTCTTACAACCATCATGTCATATAGATTACCATTGTTCACTCAACACTCACGTATTCTGATGAAGAGAGACCGACTAATTATCCGAAAAAATTGAGGCACTGAAATTGAGTAAATAGCATAGGTCTTTTTGAAACATGAATAAAATGGTGCAGTTTTCTAAAATACCTTTATTTATTTGAAATGATGTGAAACTAAAAGGGGAAATGTTATCCTTATAATATCCGCAGAAAAAATTACGGTGGATTAGTAATCTAGAGAGAGAACTCGTAAAAGAAAACTGGTCAAAAGAATCTTGTCTAAATTCAATACATCATATTCAGATTCACTACAGCATTATTGCAATATTCTACGACCCATAGTCACCAACATTTAAATATACCTAATACAAATATTATTGTGAATCCTTATGTATCGTCGTAAAGCAGGTAGTCTACATTAATTAACTCCATCCTATGAATTTTATTTCCTTTGTACAATAAGATTTAATTTATGATTAAGTGTATTTAACAAGGTCGTATAATTCAATTTATAATATGCGGGTATCCTATTTTAGTAAAGCGAGAAAACTGCTTCTTGTTCTTTAGGTTTGCCAGAGATCTCATCACACATCTTTTCTGAACTACTTGATGTCTTCATGTTCACATAGTTTAAAGAAATCTATTTCATTTTTCTGTGGTAGTTTAAAAGATTAAGTTTAAGTAAGTTTTATTTCTCAGGGAAACGAAAAAGAGGAAGGTTAAAGAACACATTGCGTCGGATAATAGAAGCAGATATGAAAACGATGAATTATAACTGGACGGAGCTAGAAAGAATTGCCCAGGACAGGGTTGGATGGAGAATGCTGGTGAGCGGCCTATGTTCCTTCACGAGGAGTAACAGGCGTAAGTAAGTAAGTAAGTAAGTAAGATTTATTTCTAGTTTAAGGATATGCATTTTTAAAGAATCGATCTGATTGAAATTTGGATAAATCTTATTTTAACATTTTGTTTTGTTTTTTATTGAGTTTCTATCCATTCAGTAGTATATTTTAAGGATATTTCCTTTTTAGTGTGTTTGTGATCATACCTTCTAGCATTTTCGAATGGTTAAAATAAAGTATTACATCAAAATAGTCTTCAACTACTCACTGATTCAACTTATAGAAGTTTTACCTATATATTGATAAAAGTCACGAAAACCATTGGTCAGCATTCAGGTCTTATAATGAAAACCTTACACTGATTATTATAGATAATATTAATCTTTAAGTGAATACTGTACTTTTCATTTCGAAATTGGTGAACAAAAGCTTTTTATTAAAAGTATCTGTAAAAAATTAAATGATCATTCAATATCTACTGATAACAATAACAATCATGGTAATAACTCGGGTTTCTGGTTTTACAATACGTTCATCGTTACATCACCGCAAATTCAAACTACATTAATTGTCATATTATCTTTGCCCAGTGTTTTGTACATTTACTATTTTACCAGTTTTGATAGATAAATTCATTACGATTCATTCTGTTTTTATTCACAGAAAACCATTCAATCTATAAGTTATTCTCTGATTTTATAGACATATCTATTTGCATTTGGAAATGTTCGTACTCTTCTTTTAGGCTTACAAGAATTCAGATTCACACTAACTTATTTTGTCTGTTAACATAACAGATGAAATAGCGATTCATTAGTTATAGAAAATTAAAGAGCTCAAAATTTCTAAGTGACACAGTCTACTGGCTTTTTCTGTTGAGTCCCAGAAATTGAATGTCATTCTGAAGGGAAAGTGAATATGATATGTATATACGAGTTTCGTATTTATTTTAATAAAAATATAAGTTTTATAAAGAAAATGTATGAGATTGTTGGCAGTGTTGAGATTGCTTTAGACTTACAGTGAGAAAAAACACTCATAACGTCTTGAATACTGAATAAGTAATATCCCTGTTAAATTTATAATGACGTTGTTTTATGTACGTGGCTTAGTGTATAATAGTGTGGGTGCAGTCAAACTTGAAACATTAGCTTCATAAAATAATCACTCAGTAATATCTCTTTTGACATTTCTGTTCTAGCTAGCAAAGATAAGACAATCCTTCCTCTAATCACGGGGTTCAGTTAAACTAGACAAATTAACTAGATAATTGCAGCGTTATAATTATAAATACTGAACAGATTTATAGCGTAATTATTAGTAGCACTCCATAAATGACTTCAGTCCATTTAAATTAAAGATTTGTTAATTCATGTACTCATTTCATGGAATTTTTTAATGTCTTGTAAAGAAAAATTACTGAAAAGTAATACATATTACCTGAAATATATTATGCTTCCTTTACTATTTCATTTTCTAAAGTGGCTCTAAATAATAAACGTGAATGACATAGGAAAGTTTAGGAATAATTCTCCTTGAATTGGTTTTATCACTACTTCTGTTATTTTAAACAATATCCCCGAAACTGGTAATGCTTATATCCACATTCACGAACAATTTTAGTGATGATGATATGACTTCACATCTATACAAACTATTACTTATCAATATGACCAATATACATCACACATTCATATTTTGTTACGGGAATTGTTCTCGGTTGTTTCACTTGCGATGATGCATACCCTCACCACAATTTGCTTCAACCTTTATAGGTCACTAGCAAACTATGTTCAAAATGTGTACAAGACTTTTGATACTGCATTCTGCGAATTAAATATTTTTCAGTATTTAGAATGGTGAAAATTTTTCAACATAAATATTTCCTAGAGGTTGAAACCCAACAGTGTTGTGCATAAGTTGGCATTCTGTCTCTGACAGAAATGCAGTAACTATTGTTTTCCAGTGACTTGGATCGAGATGTATACTATCTACCAACATGTTTTTAATTTGTTTTACACTACTTATGAGTAACTGTAGAGTATATGACAAATTTTACCGACTTCTGAGGGAGCATATTAATAATCAAAATTGTACGATGTAATGATTGTTGAATTTCGAAGAAATCATGAACCCACCTGTTATGAACGGGGAATTAAGAAGCCCAGACAATTACGAAAGCTATTTTCTTGGGACGTTATTGCATTTCATTCAAAACCTGTAAAACACTTATATTTATTTTCGTCCCTATCTTATTCTACATAACACGAGCTTTCGTTCTATGTATCATTCACTAGCATACCCTTTTTTGTTCCAAAAATATTGTAATTTAAACATAATATTTTGCACTATATTTTCTATCCTAATTCCCTGTTTCGGGCATAACTGTATTTTTCCAAATTATCCTACGTCGTGGTCAAGATGTTCACTTATTTATTCATGTACATTTTTGTAGTAATCCGAATTCAGAGAATCCAGAGTTCAGTGTTCCAACTGTCTTGTCTTCTTTCATTTGCGTGCTTGCCAACCAATCAAGATTTAGAATAGTTGTCTCTCTACCCCATCCCGAACTCACGCGTGTTAGACTCAAGGTTAAGCTACTCAGCCAAACGCGTCAAGGTCATAGTTTAGTCTAGACAGATCAAGGTGAAGTCATAACAAGTATCACGGGGTAAAAGCAATTCAAGGTCATAACACGACCAATGTTAGACCAACAATGATAACCTGGAAGAACTGTCTGGCCACTAAGTCCTCCTACTAGATCCCTTATCAGTGAGCATGCACGAGCTTGCATGCCAGCAATCAGACGTACCACTTTCGTTTCCGCTCACGATCGAGTTAACCTGTGAGTCACTGGTCCAGCATTCACTAATGTCAATGCTTAACTTCGGTCAATTCAAAATGTTGCGCGACCACCTCTAATTGTCTTCTGTGAGAAATGCCTCACATCCAGCAAGGTACCACCTCACTAGTCACAATACAAAAGATTATTGACTTATATCTAATGAAACATCTATGGTTTACAGTGTACGGCATGTATTTTTTCCAACAATAAAATGCATTGGCGTCATTTTATGATGAACTCGTAAGAAATGATTGTTAAATAATTAACATGCTGACAAGTTGATTCTGATTCACTATTGATTTAACCAACAACAATAAATTTAGAATTGTTAGTACCGAAATATATCAACAATATGCTAATGTTTTTTTTAGTATGGATGTATACCTAAAAATTTTACGATACTAAAACTTACAATGTTTGGTTGCAAAGACTAGCACATAGGTAGAGTGAAATCATCCAAATTACAAAGAAAGGTATCTAGGACTAAAGTAGAGATAATTGATAATTCTAACTATACCCAATCAATTTACGGTGAAAGTGAAATGATTGATGTCAAATATTATATTATGTCAACTTATGTTTCTAATGAAAATACTAATAAGTTTCTTGTAGAGTGGTTTCATAAGTTAACAGCAATAAAAATGAAGTAACAATCAAGTAGTAAATCATTGTACAAAAGAAAGTGAACAGACACGATAAAAAATGTTAACAAAAACACAAAAGCTGGACGAAATATGACTCCAATATACAAAATAAATAATAAGAATGAAAAAGATGTTAAAAAGAACTGTATTAACTGTAGGGGAATATTTAAGCACAAATATGGAAGTTTAAATGATGTTATGGCAGTTGTATTGCTAAATAAAATTCATCACGAGTTGATTAACATTCTGTAATAGAATATACGATTCCTCACATAATTTGTAGTACTGTGGTGTATGCTACTTATGTCTGTCAACATACCTAGTGGAAGGGAATAGAAGAATTGTGAATCATATAGAATGTAAAAGACAAGTGATGGAAATCTACAAATAAAGTGTTCAATTTATGGTTCTCATATTTTGCCATGATATTCTATAAAATAAAATTCTATTCATATCTTGCATTAGCACCATACATGTAAAGGATCGACCATCTACTTCTATTTATATTTAAAATGAAAGAATTTTTTCACAAGTGCACTATTGTGTATAAGTTGTGCTGTATATACCACCTGCAAAACATTGATTTGATTGGTGATTCAATGTGCTGAGACACGTCAGGTGAGAACGCAGTTAAATTATCGCGTAATAACAACTGATTAGATGTAATATACTGTAACATAAAAATATTGGGAAATTATCAGTGTTTGTTTCAGGAAGGAGATGGCTCCAAAATATCCCAACAACAACCTAAATATTCTAATATGGATAACAAATACACCAAAACATACGCTATATAAAAAATTGGTGCAAGTAAAACATGAGATTACACGGCTACGCTTGTGTTACCTAACTCTCTGTTCATGACGCCAGCATTTTTATTAGCTTATGATTTTGCATGCTACATAATGTTCATTCGGTTCTCAGTTCTATTTACAAATCCATGAAAGCATATGCCAAAAAGGGAAGTTACATTTCAGCTAATATTATTATAGACTATCTACTAACTGTTGGTTGTCTTTAAATGCATAACGTCTAAAAATTGTATTGATAAAAAAGCGAGAATCCTTCTGGCGAAGCTGTCAAGCAATTACAATTATAGACAGACATGTTTTTCTGAACAAGGCTTATGGTAATCTTATTTATTTTATAATTACTGAATGCATAACCTTCGAACTAGTTTTAAGATAAGGTGTTATGAAGATGAGTTCGTAAAAGAGGAGGACAACCGGTGTAAATTCAAGCAGACAGGAGAATTTCCTGATTAGTCTAGCCAGTTATTCGACTACTTGTCAATCTCAGACTGTTAAAGATTCCCATTGTGAAAATTAGAACAACACATATAAGCGAACAATTGTTTTCAATTAGATCGTCATCAAGCTTTACTCTAATATACATGAACGTTTATACGAAAATGTTAAACCAATCAAGACAATTTGGGTCAATGATCACAATGAAATAGAATAAGTCACCACACATGATAAGTAAAAATACAAGTTGATAGTAGGAAGACAGGTGTACTGATAGTAGTAAGAATAATAAAATACGATAACAAAAATCTTATCAATAGTTAGACGTTGGAAATCGAAAGTCAATTGTGGGTAAATAGACTTGAAATAGTCATCATAAAACATTAAAATCATTACGTAATAAGAAATGTGTAAATAATTAGATGGTGAAGAATACAAACGGAAAGAGGAGGAAAATTGCAAACAAATAATGGATGTGATAATAAGGATAATGACAACAAAAATAGAATAAAACAAATAAATAATAATAAAAATTAAAAAATTGTTAGTTAAGTTGTAACTGGCCATCGAAGGGATAGGTGGTTACGAATTTCTTCCGTACACATAAATTGGGGTTATATGTACGAATTCCTATGGCTTCAGTTATATGTAGGAGGCGGGAACGAATTCCTTTGGGAAACGATGGAGGTATACGATAGATCACTCAAAATGATTTCGACTTATCTACAGCATGACCGCTATCAATAAGACGTGCCAAGATAGAACTGCGAATTGTTTTTATCTGGCCCTTTATAAACCAAGCTGGTAGATGTTCACTCATTCGTTGGTTAAGTTGCCTGGTAGTACGCCTGATATAGCTATCTCCACAGGAGCAGCTGAATTTGTAAATGCACATTGAGGAGGCCAACTCAGGTAACTTATCCGTCGTTTGGGTAGACATCACTGGTCGACAAGAGAAAGTCAAAGCAAGATTGGCCTCGTAGAATGTCCTGGTGATTACTTTCGTTAACCTATATTTCAGAGTGCCACTAGCCACATCCCCGTTGAATTGTAGTCTCATGTATAAAGGTTTCTTACGAACAGTCGAAATCTTCGACTTCTTTATTATGTCATACATGTACTTCTTAATGGAAGCACTGGGGTAGCCGATCTCGGTCAGTGAGTTGTTGATAAATTCAAGCTCCTGACTTAAAGTATCTACTGTACAGATCACTTTTTTAGCTCTCAGACTGACTTATACAGTCCTTTATGCTTTAGATCTTTTTATTTATTTCAGTAACCGTTTTTTCCTCATTTTTGCAAGTTACTTATGACATTTTCTTCTTTCTAAATGTTTCGTGGTTCGTTTTATCCATATTGTGCTTAACCTGAATATGATGAACTAATTTCATTGTAGATTTTACATATTTTATTATTCTTTTCGCTTCATCATGAATTTATCATTCTTCTCACACCGCTTACGAATACACACAATCTGTTATCCTGACACACTTTTCGTTTCACACCATGTCTCTTACACACTAAAGCAAACACCTACTTTAAACGTTGTTAACGATGATTGGATGACAAATTTAGTATACAATTAACCAGAGAACGATGTACTTATTTATATTCCACAAATTTTATGTTTGATTAAAATTCCTTGAAGAAGGTTGGACCAGATTGTTAGACAGAGCGTTGGATTTACTTCGAATTCAGTCACTAAGATTTTAAAAATACATTCTTCCTCTTTAGTGTCTCACATCAACTCAGTACCCAAACACCATGAAACTATTCGATCAAATTTAAACGGAAGTTCTTATATATAGATACAGTTTAGTTCTCTTTTTTATGTTGGAAATATTACACGATGTTGAAATATTTTTTCTGTGGGAGAGAACAAGTCACATCCCAGCGGAGAAAAAAATCAGGAAAAAAAGCTGGAAGTGCCTTTCTTAAGGAAGGCACCGGACTGCGTCACAAGGGAAGCCCTCACTTGAAATATTCAAGGTCATAGGTGAAGTGGAAGACTAAAGAATACATTACGCCGAGAAATGGAGACAGACATGAGAAGAATGAACAACAATTGGATAGAACTAGAAAGGAAGGCCCAGAACAAAGTGGGTTGGAGAATGCTGGTTGGCGGCCTATGCTCTATTGGGGATAACAGGCGTAAGTAAATAAGTGATTATTATACAATGTTACTAACGTTTCTAAACATTTCAGTAGATTAGGAAAAACTACCTAAACTCTAGATTGCTAAATACTATTTTAAATATTCATTCATTGAAGTATATGAATCAACGATTGTCAACCAATGTACGTTTTGATTTGCAATTACTCATGTTACAAATCATATTACATGAGATAATTTAACACTATTTGACAAATTACCATGTTTAGAATACAGAAACTTTGAGGAACCAACTTAATAATCAAACATATTCATTATTCTCATCAACTACTTTTACATTGTTTTGAACAAAGTAAAACAATTTCAGTAAGGGTTTAATTTAGTGAAAAATCATCTGCTTTTAACAAACCTATACATATTCTACATTTTATTATTATTTTTTCCTACTCAATATATATGGTTATTCATATGATATAATATAAATTTTAAAACAACCCTTGCCAATTAAGAGATACCATGTGGTTTATATTAGAATAATGATATAAAATCAATGTTGTATAGATCATTTATTAGATAATGATTACAAAAAAGTAAAAATTAAAGAGAAGAAAAAACACATTCATATTTGTAAGTTTTGTAAAATAAGTAGTAAATATGAATTCGGAAAAAAAACATGAAGTTTTTCGGTTTTTGTAGTTATGATTGAATTCACAGATCTAAATATATAAAATTTGAATAAAATGTACTTTTAAAAATGATCTATTCATAACAATAATTAAAAGAAAAAAAATTTTTAAAGTAAAAACATGAATATAAAAGATTTTCGATAGAACAATGAGAAGACGGAGTTGATCTGAAAAATGTGATGTATTTGTGCTATACATTTGGTCACACATATACTTGTCAGGGTATTTTATATGAAAATTAATAATGGTCAATGAAATGAAAGTTCAAGTAAAAAAAAGTAACAAAGAAGAGAGAAAGAATGAGAAATTGTCGCGTTATCCTACGCCATAGAATGACTTAAGGATTACCAAGGTAAATTCAAGATTACGACAAATTGTTTTTGTACACATAAGGGGGGTTTTAAATTTACGAATAGCCAAGGCTTCAATAAACTTGAGAATTTGTCCTTGACAATTTCTATACAACGTTCTAAAATCTATATTAATGTCAATTTTGTGCCCCCTCTCAAATATATGTTTCACTATCGATGAACCTGGTTTTCTACCTCCTACATTGATCGTATCATTTGATATACATTGATTTTGAAGCCATCTAGGCACATGTTCAAATACATCACATTTTTCAGATAAACTTCGTCTTCTCATTGTTCTATCGAAATTTATAAAAAGGACTAATTGCTATAAAAGATTCTAATCGCTGAAAAATTCCCATTATATTAAAACTCAATGATATGAATATATGAAAGATTTCTTGATTACTTTTTTTTATTGTTTTGTCAGTAACATATACAAGTTATTCCATAATGATAATAATAATAATGAAGTGTTTCATACTTTCATTCAACTATTGAAATTTGAAGTTGGTTTTCTTCTTATAAAACATTTTATTAATCATTAAGTTTAATGGATTCTTATGACCGTCATCGTGTATTTATTCAATTTGAGTAAAACTCTTATAGATTTCTCAAGTTTTAAGCTTTTTCATATGATAATTGTTAATCATTATACTATTATCAGATATAATAAATGGAGAATATTCTGTGTTAAAAATATTAAATTTTCATGTATTCAGTAGAACAGATGCTCTAGATGTGTACCAGTAAACAGGATATAACGATTCGAAAGTTCGCGAATAATATTACAAAACGATGAAATGTTTTAATAGATAAACAATCAATGAGACAATATAACTTATTTATAACTGTTAATTAGTTTTGCATTAACTTAGTCAACATTATCACTACAGCTTTAATCTGTGAGTAATAAAACTTGAAGGGAAACAATATCAAGATTATTATGCCTGATATATATATATATATATATATATATATATATATATATATATATATATATATATATATATATATAACAATAAGTATTACTCACCCAGATCACTAAAACAAAATAATAACTGACAACAGTGATGAGAATGGGTAATCAAATTCTTTCATTTAAAATTTCATTTACGTTTATTATCACTAAGAAAGAGAAAAATTGAAATAAAGCATTATATTAAGATAAAATACAAAAAATTGAAAAAATTAGAATAGTTAATATTATTTAAATTTATTAGCAGATACCTATTTAATCTCAGAACCTATACGTTTGAAATGTGCTGTTGAAGCTTATGACAAATGAATTAAAAAAATTTGTTTACTTCAATGTAATAACAAACTATGTTCAAATCATTTTCAAATGCTGAATAATCATTTAACTTCTCCTATACCTTTTCTGGGGCCACCGATGGTTTCAAGACAGGGAAGAGGAGATGGGCTGAAGTCAGCAACAGCATCACGAAGAAAAAATCTTGCTAAATATGTTATTCAAAATAAACAAGCATCATCATAAGGAGTGTATCACTGTCGAGACCATTTGCGAGATTTAAGAAAGGAAGAACAAGAAGACGGTTATGAACAACAGTGGAACGAGAGCAGAGACAGTCAGGGCACAATCTGACTACATTGAAGCAATCAAGCGAGTGAAGAATGACATTGGAGTCAACAAGTGGAAATACGTGGTTGACATAGCAACAACAACGAAAAATTGTGCTAGAGAAGGAAATATGAAACAACTATATGACACAACGAAGAAATTGGTAATGAAATATAGTAAACCAGAGAGACCGTTCAAGTACAAATAAGGCAAGGCAATGACTGAGATTCAAGAAGAGAGGAACAGTTGGATAGAACAATTTAAGCAACTGTTGAATAAACCAGCTCCATTCAATACACTAGAAATCCATTCAGCACCTACAGGCATCCTTATACATCGTACTCCATCAATGAACCATAAAGTGAGGATGGCCATTAGACAAGTGAAGAGTGTAAAAATGTAGCACGACCTGACAACATACCAGCTAAACCACTGAAGTCAGACATAGTAGTACCTGCATATATGCTTCATATTCTATTCAGGAAGATTTGGTGGAGGGAAATGCAAGTGATAACACACTGAGAAGGAGAATACCATAGATATCAAGATACCAAATGAAGGAGATCTGAGCAAATGTGAGAACTACAGATGCATCACACTACTTTTGGCACTAGGAAATGATTACAACAGAGGATTGCTGAACCGGATGGAGGATTTAGTAGATGTCCATCTTCAAGATCAACAGACAGGATTCTGTAAGGATTGTTCGTGCACAGACCAAATCACGACACTACGGATCATCGTTGAATAATCAACTAAATAGAATTCGTCACTATACATCAACTTCATTGACTATGAGAAAGTGTTTGACAGAGTGGATAGGAGAACGTAATGAAAACCTCTTCAACACTATGTTGTACTGAGAAGATCGTCAACATCAACCGGAATTCATACGATGGACTACACTGCAAAGCCATTCATGGTGGACAGCTGACAGACTCATTCCAAGTGAGGACCGTCGTCAAACAAAGCTGCTCATTCTCTCTTTCTCTTTTTGTTCTGGTTGCTGAGAGGTTTATGAAGACCCCACATTTCATTGGAAGCACTAAATACAACGGACAGCATGGATGCAACTAGACGATTTGAACTTTGCAGATGAGATAGCTCTTCTATCCCATACACACTAACAAATGCAGATGAAGACAACTAGTGAAGCAGCAGCCTGTGCATCAACAGGCCTCAACACATACAAGGCAGAAATTACAACACGGTGAACACCAATACAATCATACTTGATGGAGGAACTCTGAAGGAAGTGTAAAATTTCACCTACCTGGACAGCATCATCGACGAACAGGAAGGATCCTATGCTACCGGAAAGGCAAGGATTGGTATAGAAAAGACAGCATTTATACAGTTGTTGAACATATGGAACTCAAAACAACTGCCAGTCAATATCAAAGTCACAATCTTCAATACGAAGGTCGGGACATTTTTACCGTACAGAACTGAAACTTGGAGAACCACCACAGCCATCATCAAAAATGCACAAGTATTTATGAACAATTGTCTACGAGGGATACTCAACATCCATTCGTCGGATATAATCAGAAACGGCCTACTGTGTAAGAGAACAAACCAACTTCCATTCGAAGAGGTAATTAGGAAAAGACGCTGGAATTGGATAGGACATTAATTGTGGAAATCTTCAAACCGCATCACGAGATAAGCTCTAACTTGCAATCCTGAAATGGAAACGGTAAAGAGAAAGCCAAAATGTTCACTGCGTTGAGAACTGGAAGCATTTGGAAAGGACTGTACAGGGCAGAGCTCGATGCGGTATGCTGATGGGCGATCTATGCTTCTCCACAATATGTAACAGAAGTAAATAAGTAAGTAGTAGACTTCAGTACTTTGATTAATATGCCCAAGTACAAAATTTTATTCAACGTAAATATTAGATATGGTTTTTGTCTCAAACGTAAAATGAACTGTAATGCAATTGCCTATCTCGATTTTATGTTCAACTATTTCCGATCATATTCTGTAAATTAGGAAAACGGAATAAGTTTATGAATAGAAATGCTAGTTTGAAGTGTTTTTCATGTCATATTTTCGTTCTATGAACTGTTCAAAATTTTGAAGTCCTTTAAGGGCAATTCTATCGTCTTCGATAATTTATTGACCTTGAAATTATAAATTTTGATCTAAGTCCTCGAGGGATAGCAGGCTTAAGTATGTAAGCAAGAAAATATAATGATTCAGTTTATCACTAATGCCAAGAAAACAAAGTATGCCTCGATTAATCTAGCAAGCCAAACATGTATAATTGTATCTGGCAATCGCTAAGACTGATTACTTAGTTTGTCAAGTTGATTTGAATAATATGTTAGATATATATGACTTTCATACACTTTAACTGAATAAGACGCAGTATAATAATAAACCACTAGACAAAGACAATCGTAAATAATACTATTTAACATAATGATATTAAGATGTATTTGAGTTATCAAAAAGACTACATTGAAATCCTTATTCATCACTTATTTCTGTATTCAGGTAATGTTTAATATCTACTTCACGGGTTATAAAATATTATTTCCTTCCACAAAATAAGCTTTTTAATTAGCTTAATAAGTGATGACATTAGACAAATATGAAAAACATCAGTCAATAAGTACAAGGATTTGTGGTATGAATTGATTTTATGTGATTTATGGCATTTTCTTCAAAATGCTATCAATAAAACAAGTTATATAAGATGCTCTTAACTGTTAACTGGGCATGTCTGAAATTTGACTGATTTTCATAAGAAGTCTATCAATAACTCAGACCCTGATCGACTATCACTCGACTAGTTTGAATAAGTTGGCAGCGGGCATTTCTTGAAAGAAGGCAAATTGTCATGGAAATGCAACCAAAATGAATAATACTGTTTTAATGAACAGTGAGAGTGAAGAGCAAAAGAAGAGGGAATAAACGCATTATGAAAAGTTCATTCTGGATTGAATTTACTGGACTGAAGATATGTTAACGACAACTTGTAAACAAGTGGTTATGACATCAGAATACTCTAAATACTGAGGTCTAGGCATTACCAATGGCGGATTTCAGTAGTGTTTACATTTAACTCTACTGCAATATTTTTGCTTCACTTCAGGCATTCATATGTTTGTGGCTGTCTACGTTCCATAAGACACAATCGGAAAGCACTTAGTGACATTGTTTCATTGTAGAAGACAACAAGAACTTAACACTGAGTTCTGAACTTTTACGTAGAGCTTTACTAATTGTCATACATCATAAATACTTGATCTATTGTGTTATATGTAACTGCTAAGTATTTATTTAATTAGAATACCCATTTTTCAGTATATTACCAGAAACAGACGATGAATTATCTCTAGCTGGAGATGCGGTAAAGGTTTACGTTTAATATTCTCCAATCCTTGTGTACTGTAGATTGATTTAAAGCCAGTAGACCAGTTATATAATAAGGCCACCAAGGGCATGTGAACTTTGGATTCAATCTCAAATATGGTTGTCAGCAAGCATTTTTGAAGAGTTTTGAACAGGTAGAAAACAGACATCCATAGCTCTCTACTTTTATCAGTCTTTCAACTAATGTACGTTCACGATATAGATTATCGTCAAATGGTTTGGTAAAACTGTGGTATGACTTTGCCAATATTTAAAACAGTTGATAGAGTTGGAACTACTGCTTAACTCCTAAAGACTATCTAGTGTGTAGTTTATACGTATTCAAGTTACAATATCATTTGACTTCATCATATTAACGACAAATAACTGGGTATTTTGTGCTATTATTTCTATTTAAAAGCAATTTTAGATGAGCGTGTTAATCAGTGGACCACATATAAACAGTTCCCTACATCAGCTGATCATCGTTCTTTAAAAAACTCGTCTTGACAAAAAAGTAATTGTAAAACATCCAGAGAGACAGATGACACACAAGTCATGAGTAGAAGGGCCATAGTAAAGATCGATAAAAATATCTAGTTGAACAATGACTTTTTCAACTATATAAAACACTTTAACTCACCCTGGCTTGGGTTCATCATCGATCCCATAAGTAACCAATGGACCTAGGTTATCACCAAAATCTTGCTGATAACTTTATAATAGTAAGGCAAATTGAGTCCATTATCCGTGGTAAACAAACTCCTTACCTACAGTCTGATGTATTTTTGCTTCCGTATGTTTGCTCAGAATTGACTCCTCTGCATTTATTTACCAGAATGGAGAACATATAATGATCATGTAAGGCATAAATATATACAAAACAGCGATGACATTACAAGAAAAGAAAATACAACGTATTCCAGCATTAAAAGAAACTGCTACATTATTATGCAGTGATGATTGCTAAAATTTCTATCACAATTAAAGGCAGGCTTATTTAGTCGATATTTGCGAAAGTGTGGTGAAGTTATACAGTATATAGATATATATATATATATATAATTTAAACTTTGAGAAGAACACATAAACTGTTTTAGAGTCACTCACGATGCCAAAACATTTCATAATATGTCATTTCAGCTAAACAATAAAGTGGAGCGCCTTTTAGTGACTACCCGAAATCTATTCGAGGTTCATCTATACAACTTTTAATCAAAGGCAAAAAATGTGCCTTTGTCAATCATACACTAAATAATCAAAGAAAGTTATGATCCAGTTTTATTAAAGCCAAACCTTTAGGAGAGTGAATGCTGATTGGGTCTAGATTTTTATTACATCTAATGCTTTTTGATCCTCTTTTTTTAAATGTCTAGTTTTCCAATCTTACCCTATATTATATTTTTCACTAAACGTTATCAAGAGCATACATTAAAATTAAAATACGAACCGGTAAGCTATATTACTAAACCTGTATTTCAACAGTACGTATCACACAACTACGACGCCTTTTCAGTTTTTATCTAACAAATATCGGATTTGATACTTATGGGGTTTGACTAACCATTGTTACACGCTTAATAGTAAACTACAAACAAAATGCATATATCCAGGAAGGTTCAGAAATCGCTGAAAAATTTTAAATAAAAATTCAGCTATTCAAATCAGTCGGCTTTTGAATTGTATAAAAAGAGCAAACTAATGAATGCAAACCTTTGATTTCCTGTTGCTCCTTTTTTATTGTAAGCCCGTATCTTGTGATCAAATCCGTCCTATGAAACAGAAACATAATTATATCAACTAAATAAAATAATAACCACAATTTAAGATTTCTTAGTCATTGATTAGGATCAGCATAGTTTTAATGGACATTTCTTTCACAGTGTAATTAGGCTCTTATTTTGTTAAGCCATTTTGATTTTTGAACACTAGTAGATTATTCTGAATTCATATAAAGCACATGACATTTGTTTAGTTATAGTGTTAAAAAGATACATTTCGCTCAATACAATGTTTCCTCAAGGTACAACCTTTTTTATGACAAACTTATACATAATTATACTTACGAACCTAAGCACGAAGTAATTTATAAATCAAACCAAGAACAACGAAGCGTCAAAAATTATGATTTTTTCAAGCTAACGCAGGCATATAAAATCCTTCGTAAACCAACAAACTGACCACTGAAGCTTGACCATCACTAAAGACCGGATAAATATGACACTAATTATTTCTGAATGAATAATCAAAGGAGAGGTATCGGTATTACAGATGGTTAGTCTGTGGTACCTCCTGAGATTGTAAAGATCAGTGACTTGGTTTCGAATCTCACAAAAACCATCAGCCCTCTTATCGTTAGATATACGCCATGCTGAATAGTTACAACTTGCACTAAAAACAGATCAAGTGCTTTCATGTTAAACTTTTACCACGAAGAATGCTACTAGTTATGTTTAAAATCCACTATGAGAAAAACCATTCCGCGTCATCACATTTATACAAAATGAGTTTGCAAAGTTGATGAACCTCTTTCGATCCCAATCTAAAAGCAGATGAGCAACCACAAGAATAAGAATTATAACCTCATCATGAACCCTTACAAAACGACCTCAAGAGTATTTCCAGAAGTCTATTTAATTCTGAGAACCTGATTTATTCATAGTTGTGTCCGTTAGTGTTCAACTTAATCTGTTTTAAAACCAATTATAGTACAACTATGCTCTGATGATTTACCTTCATTTTCTCGTGAATTTTAACAAGTCCAGTGAATCTTTGTGACGTGAGTAGTTGCTTTATGTGTCTTTAATTTCTATATAAAAGATTATATTAATGGCAATAAACGTATTATCAGACGTTGCTCTGTAACGATGTGCAGATTTAGATCAATGATTATAGTTCACAATGATATAGAACCTTCGATGAATTGCTAAGAACGAATGACGGATATTTCATGACTAAAACTGAACAGTTCAGCTAATGGGCAATTTATTGATTGTTTCAACCACATATTTACGGTAAAATCTGTAGCAAATCTAGAAACATCTAGTAAAATGTTTTGCACACGGTCCACGATGAGAAACCATCAAGATGAAGTTGGTTCAGAAAAGCTAGAAGCAAGAAACGTCTATGGATATTTTACGTAGACTATGCGCTTTGCACATCTAGAATCAATCACCATGTACTAAGTTTCGGGATTATCTGTCATCTTTAAATATTAAACTGTATAATACAGTGATTTCCATCACTATGTTTAATGAATGTTGTTCGTTCTATACTCGCAACACTAAATCAGATAGCATTGTGATCAACACCAAAGATAGAGACACTGTGTGTCGATATTTTGCAATGTTTTCTAAGTTTTATGCAGTAAGCCCATTTTTTTCAACTTACTACTTCAATTATCTATACGAATATGACACAACATGTTTTGTGAATAACTTACCGACGAAAAATAACTGGTTTACTAAGCATTTTTGTCGCATAGAAAATGAGTAGTACATTGTGGAGTGTCGGTTACGGCGCTTGCATTCATAATCACTTGTACAGGGACAAGATGATTGAGATGAAGAGTCATGATCATTATTATATTTTTCCTCACGTTCAGTCAGATACACAGTGGTAACACAGTAAGCACACATGATATTCATTTCAACTGGTGCAAATTAAGAATAAACTATGATCAAAAGATCTTATGAAGTACTTTTACACTCCAAAACATTCGAAATATCTTTATTTATAGGGTTTAACACTTTCTGCTCACCGTCTTCAAGGTAAGAATTAGGTCTAAATCTAAGGGTGAGAATGTCTTCTTGACATTTCATGTATTACAAACCTATTGTAACGGTTTTATTCAATAAGTCACATCCGGCACTTCAGGATTCTGAAACACTACATGTCGCTTCAAAAGGAAACGCATAACTGAAAATAAGTCAGTTTGTTATTAATGATATTTCCAGAAAACCAGTTATCCAAAAAAACGCTCCAGTTTATTTCAGTTGATATACAAAGATTGAAAATCAAGGTGAGTTACTGTTTACTAATCGTACTTTGTAAATCATTTTTTCAAAAAAGTTAGTACTCACGATCATCGGACTGCCACTGCAATCAAAATATGTCTCATCATTACTTCTGGGCCTCATGCCTTGACGAATGCGGAAGATTTCGTACCGATCCATCTTATTCCCTTGGTTGGATGACATGAGGATATTCCGGAAACTAGTGTGCGATTATTTGTGTTGACTTTTATAAATGTCTCGTGACCTTGAACGATATGTATAAATTCGAACAAATACAACTCACATTTCCCAATATATTAAATGCTGACGAAATGAATTTCAAACCTGCTTTAATCCTTACACTTTGTATTACCAATTATTTGACAAATTATTCAACACAAGATTTTCTTGATGACATGAAGAAGAGGAGTGGCAGTGCTAACAACAACTAATAGCTGTTGAAACGTAGATGCACAATAGAAGAGCCCAATGCATGCTAATTAGCAGTCAGAACGCTAACCGATTATTAGCTCTGACGGTAAACTACCGATGAAGAAACTTTAGATAAAGCTTAAGAATTAAATGCAGTATGTAACGAATTGCAACAGGAAGACAGGCCTCAAATGATGGAGGAAAAACGAAAGTGCAAACTAGGATAAATGTATATTAATCTCAAAGCATTACCAAGAACGTGAAGAGTTTAAACTGCCACATAGATCCATCGTATAGGCTGCTTTGTTGATCGCTCTTTTTATTGACGTTATCGCATCCCAACCTTTGAGTCTGAAATTACATGCAAAAAACAATTTGGACGGGTTAGGAAATTCAATGTGAGGTACAAAAAAGGAGTTCCAGAAGCAGGAACCGTGGGAGAATAACCTCCATATCATATAAGTGTTGTCTTGTAATCAATCATATAGAGCCTTAGACAAGCAAAATGCCCCACTATGCAGCCGAAAATGTTTTTCAATGAGATTCAAATTCATCAAAAACGCCAGTTGATAAAAAGCACAAAATTATGACCATCTGTAGAAAAATAGAGGCGTTAATCAGAGGACACTGTTCTATCTCGCTGAGCGCAACTAAACGGTCTTTTGAAAACATGACGACGAAACTAAGAAAAATGAAGATGTCGACCGCCGAAATTGTAGATACAGTTGAAATAAGTTAATCAGCAAAACTATACAATTGAGTGAAACGTTAGAAATACCGAAACTGCAATTAAAATGAACAATAAAATTCCGATTGAGGACCGGAAACACAACTGTTTGTAACTGAGGGTCAGAATAAATACTATATCTTACAGTAAGAACAACTTCAAGGAACAAGAATACTTTATGCAAGGAACGTACATATAAAGAGAGTTTCTCAAGCAAGCGTACACATTCATCAAAAAACATTCACAAAATCAACCTATATCTGCTTTAAATGATTGCCACTTTCATCAATCACCCATTACGAAAATGATATAACATAGCAGATAGTCGATATATTATCTATTTCTATTTTTGCCGCTAGTAAATGACCTTCCAGTCCAGACACTGGGACCATGAAACACCCAAATAAACGGAATTTCAGTTTGGCCGAATTATTTAGAGAATACAATACTACCACATGCAGTATAAATCTACTCGTCAAGGTGAATGGGTAAATTACAAGTCATCGGGCTGTTGACATGATTTGTCGGAAATTACTGAAGCTCGTAATTTAATGCACTATACATCTTCATCCAAGCAATCACTGTGCAACTGAACACAATATCAACAAGCCACAATGTGTGTTACTATGTAACTATGGACTCAAGCGAAATCGCTCTTCCGCACTATAATTTCGTCGGCGTTCTTGGTCAGATATATGGTATGTCGTCTATGCCGGCAGGACAGCAATGTTTGTTCACTTACGGCTCCTTATTGTCTGACTTCTTTACGCCCATCATTTCTCGTGGAGGAGCGTAGGCCGCTCACCAGCACTTTTTACTCAACCCTATCCTGGGCAATCCTTTCCAGGTCTTTCCAGTCGTTATTCATCCTCTTCGTATCTGCTTCTATTTCACGACAAAATGTGTCCTTAAGTTTCCCTCATTTCTATTTCGCCTCGGGATTCCAAGTTAGAGCCTGCCTCGTGATGCAGTTTGATAATTTCCACAATGTACGTCTTATCCATTTCTATTGTTGTTTCCTAATTTCCTCTTCAACTGGAGGCTGGTTTTTTCTCTCTCACAAAACGCTGTTGCTGGTGGTATCCGACGAATGGATGTTGAGTATCTCTTGTAGACAATTGTACATAAATACTTCTACATTTTTGATGATGGTTGCAGTGGTTCTCCAAGTTTCAGTTCCGTACGGTCAAATTGTCGTGACGTTCGTATTGAAAATTGTGATTTTGATATTGGTCGACCACCAGAAGAACGGGGAAGAAGGGGAGAGGACAGCCTCATCTGACTCCGGTCCTTACTTGGAACGCATCTGCCAGCTGTCCTCCATACACCACTTTGCACTGTAGTCCGTCGTATGAGTTCCGGATAATACTGGAACTCCATAGTTTCGAAGAAGTTTCCTTAATGTTCTCTCATCTACACCGTTAAACTCCCTTTCATAATCAATGAAGTTGATTCATAGTGACGAGTTCCTGGTTTGCTATATTTCTCTGCTAATTTCTTCGTTGTATCATAAGGCTGTTTCATATTTCCTTCTGTTGCAGCATTTTCCGCCGTCGTTGCTAGTTCTTCCACGTATTTCTGCTTGTCGGCTACAATGCTCATCTCCACTTGCTTGTTTGCTTTTATATACTCAGCTTGTGCTTGGACTTTCTCTGCTCGTGTTCGGCTGTTGTTTATTACTGTCTTCTTGTTCCTCCTTTCTTTGATCTTGTCCAGTGTTTCTATAGAGATCCATTCCTTATGATGGTATTTCTTTAGACCGAGAACCTATTGACACGTTGAAGTTAATGCTTCCTTGATGCCTTTCCAGTTGTCTTCCATAGTAGTTTCTTCTTCTTTCAGTAGATCTTGTAAGGCTTGGAACCTGTTGTTGAGAGCTATCTTGAATTCATTGAGTTTGTCAGTATCTCGAAGGAAGGCTGTAATGAACCTTTGTAGTGCTGTTTGTCCAGTTGTCAAGTGATTCGTTAGCTTTAGTTTTAAATAAGCCATAAATAGGTGGTGATCGTGACCGAATCCATCAAGGAACACTGATTCCCTCAAGAATACAGGTACACCTTGCTGACGAGCGCCAAGTAGCACGAAACGCGGATCCAGGGCTTCCTGTTGACTACCTCCAACCACCAACCTATCTCAATATAGAGCACGCAATGTTGAGTCCCCTAGACTAGTGGCCAAATTGCAGCTTGGCCGATAGCATTCGATGCGCACTGAGAAAAACGTGACACACATGACATCGATCACCACCCAGTGATCAGTCAATTGTGATCTGAAGCTATGTCAGCTCCTCTCCTGGTTCTCACACCTTCCACTGTCATTCGGAATTTTTTATTGTTGCAAATATGATCTATCTGGTTCTCCGTTGTGTGACCCTGTGAGACACAAGTAGCTTTGTGTCTACAATTGTGTGGAAATATTGTGCCGCCTATGACCAATTTGTTGTCCTTTCTTGGGCACATCTCTATGATTGAATGCAGCCTATCGTAGAGCTGATCTTTAATGTCGTCATTGCCATCATTGGTTTGCGCGTAACACTAGATAACATTTAATGTGATCCCCTCTTTTTTTTGACTGATGCCTTGATGATCCTGGATCCGTGAGATTCCGATCCTACCAGTGCATTTTTTGCTTCTTTGGACAGCATCAGAGCAACTCCCTGAGTGTGTGGAGCATTTTCCTCTTCGTAACCGGAGTATCTAGCCTTTGCTGTCCAGCTTGGGTTCAATGGGTTTCGCTTATTCCCAGAACTGCCAATTTGTATCTCCTCATTTCCGTTGCTACTTGACTGGTCTTCCCGGTCTCTCAAATTGTTCGGACGTTCCATGTACCTATAAAATTTTTTGCTCTGGTTGTTAGAAGGGGAATTGGCCTCGTGGCTTCCGAAGGAACTCGACTTTCACCATGAAGCGTCATAATTCTTCTAAATGAAGACCTTCCAATTCCCAGGGCAGAGTTAAAATGGTTTGAATTATTTTTTCAGTTAAGCGTTTTTTTAGCGAGTTAGTTTTCTACGGGATGGGGTTGCTGACCCCATGCCCAACCCTCCTCCTTTACTAGAGCTCGGGACCGGCAGTAACTCTGAAAGAGCTGCTTGCAGAGATTCTTAGTGTCTGCGAGATATAACCGATGAGTTGTATTGAAGTTATTTTCCTGTTGCAAATACCTCTCTGACTTATGTTCGTCATCTTGAATTGGATTATTTCACATCGATAAATCCGATAGCAAGCTTAACTGGGCAATTACAAAATAAAAGAGTCTAATAATGGCTTTACAAAGGTGCTTATGATAATAATTGACATGGAGGAAGTCGTTTATGTAATCAAGCGCAATGTACTCATTACTGCATCTAGGTGATCTGTTTGATGTTAAACTTTCATCTCTTTAGGATTTTCACTATTTATAAGGTCCCTTATCACTTCACTACAGTGCTTTCAGTCTGTATTTCTTAACTTATCGACACTCTGGAAAAACTGACCTAATAAAAAAATTAGTCTCAGTAATCATACCGTCAAAGTTGACGTTTTTAAGTGACCAGTTATACAATTGCTACAATACGCCTTGATATAAACAGTTATGAACTTAAACTGCACCAATTATCGACAAAAACTTGATTTTCTCAACGCATCCTCCTCAACGTTTACAATAAACATTCATGCTTTAGTAAGATGATTAATATTCTTATGCACATGAATGTGCCCCCTATTCCTCTGACCAGAGTGTCTTATAACCTGTCAACCTAACTGAGTAAATTATCATAACAAATCCCGTAATATTTGTAACATTGTAATATTGCCTTTAGACCGATGTGCCTTGCGTAACATGTTGTTACCTAAGAACTAATTATTATTGTTTATTGTTAAATATTATAAACAAACTGAAACGACTTTAATAAAACACACGGTCTCAGTGGTAGCAATATCTAAGCTTTTCTGATAGTGTATTCGGTAGTATGCAAAAGTAGATGTGAGCATGTCTGAAAATGTGGAGGATAATCTATAATGGCTACTCATACAAACACGCCAGTACTAAAAAATATATCCGTTGT